ATCACCCCGCACAAGTTCTCTCATACTTGGATGACTTCTCTCCCTCTCCCCCCCCCCTCGCCATATGCAACCGCATACTAGACCCATGTTTCAGTTTACCTATCACGTTTTATCTCTCTAGGTCGATCGTTGATTGAACAGTTTGTCTTGTCATATAACTATGCAATGACTGTGTGCAGCTGAATGAGAGGTCTCGAAATTTATGACGTCAGTAAATTCGGCATGCTTTGTCGCCTTTGCCTTGTTCAAATTTATTCCGGGAAAACATTGCTTTTACTCATTTTTGTTGAGACGCACCAAGATATATGTCTCATCTTTTAATTATCCGATCTAACAGGAATTTCGATGATCAGTGTCCAAAAAACGACCTTGCCATAACGATGGATATCGACAGAAAATCATGAAGCACCATTGTCTAAATTTGGAAAATGGAAAATACGGGAGCCAAAAACAGATAGAAAATAGAGTCTGTTTTGAAGCAGACAGTCATTTCAAGATTATTGATTTACTCTTATGAAATGGGGAAAACAAATTTATCGAGAGAAAATAATACTTTAGAAGTTATTCGATCCAATTGGTAACCTTGAAGAAAACATAAGAAGCCAAGATCAGCAAATAAGCTGACAGGGATACAAGCTTACTTTTGGAAGCCTGTTTAATTACTATTCTATGCGTAATTTTATTATTTAAACACTCATTGGCTTCTGAGGGGTAATATTTTAACCTCGACCTGGATAAAACTTAAAAGAGGCACAGACGGCTTTTGTGCATAAAGAGGCCGAAAGCTCGTTTGCTAGATAATAGGCATTCGTCGATTTGTCATGCGGCAAATGAAATAAACGACGCATATATGTTACTTAAATGATTCTTCGTAATTGAACGGACGTTTGGACGAAGTTGGTTTGCTTTGCACCCTACTGGCGACCATTGTTATGTGGCGGCGGGGGCATACAAAAACAGTGGGATAGCGGCCTCCAAGGGCCGACTGGGTAGTACCCAGACGTACTCAAAATACGACAATTAAAGGAAGTAAACGCATAATTTCTTCATTACAAGTAATTGCCATCAAACAGTTGGTGGTCGCATTGCGGGAGCGCTCAGTCGTGGTACAAGTGTGGTGAGGTACCGAACTAATTTACCTTTGATAATTTAGTATCTTTTTCTTCGCCTTGCTCGCTTGTTTGAATGTGACTAATAACAACACACCGGTACAACCCGCCTTGCTGGCCTTCTTTGCTGTCGCGCTCTGTTGGCAGACTCCCGACGTTAACGCAGACTTTATACCTTTCTATTTAATACTGAATCACATTTAACATACTATTTGTTTGTGAACTTCTATTCCATTTACGTCTACTTTTCTCACGAATTGTGGTATTTTACCATCTCTGTCTTAATTGTTATGTCTCATTTCAACCAACAACTTGATGCCCCCGCACAGTCCCTTCATGCCATCAATTTTACCTTGCCTAAATTCCGGACACATGCTCCAGAACTTTATTTCATTTGCATCGAATCGACCTTTTATTCTGCTGACATCACCAAGGAGCTGACGGAATACCACAAACTTGTAGAGGTTCTCCCCGCTAGTGTTATATCTCAAGTTCAGTCCTTGCCATCTAATCCTCCTGCAGATGTTCCCTATTCCACGTTAAAGACAGATATTCTTGGACTTAATTCTGTGTCTGATCGACACCGGTATCACCACTTACTTAAGGAGGAGTCACAGAGTAAACGGAGCCCTCAGAACTTCTAGGTCGAATGCGTTCTCTCCTTTGAGACATGCAGGTTGACGATAAATTCGTCAAAGAGATGTTTCTAGAGCGTCTGTCTGTAGATGTTCAAACGATCCGGGCGTCTGGTTCTCAAGATCTCACGGCTTCACAGCTAGCTGAGATGGCGGATCGAATGATAGAGTTGCAGCGGTTCCAGTCGCTTTCCGTTGCCCAGATCTCCACATCCTCATCGACAGTGAATGAGCAGTTAATGAAGCAAGTGTCGGCCATGGCGGATTTGATGGCCTCCCCTAAACTACAGCTCGCACGCCTTAGTTCCAGTCGCTCACGCAGCCGTCGTCGTTCCCGTTGGCGATCTCGGACTGCCGATATTTGTTGGTATCACACTAATTTCGGCGTAAAGGCCCGTCGCTGTTTCTCATCCTGCTCTTATAAGTCGAAACAAGGAAACCAGTCAGCCGGTGAATAGATGCGAACGCTTTCTCTGGTTCTTCCGGTTCCGATCGCACCTTCTATGTTTGCGACACTGCGACTCGCAGACGTTACCTGATGGACACTGGAGCCCAAATCAGCGTTGTTCCCCCAACTGCAGCTGATCGTCGTTTCCCTAGTCCCGGTCTTCACCTGCAAGCTGCCAACTGTTCCCCATTCACACTTTTGACAGTCTGTACCTCACCCTGAACATTGACCTTCGTCGGTCATTCACCTGGATCTTTTGGATTGCTGATGTCCCTGATGCAACCCTCGGTTCGGACTTTCTTACCGAGTTCGATCTCCTTGTTGACTGCCGACGTGCCCGTCTCCTCTACCGCACAACCGGTGTGTTTGTTCGTGGACTAACTTACTTCACTGCCCCCACCAACTTATGTGTCCTGGATACAGATATTGCTAGCCCCTTTTGAGTACTGCTTCTTAGACACCCCAACATAATTAACCCGCAGTTTCGCAGTGGTGAGGCTCAGCGTGATGTTGTGTATCATATCCGCACATCAGGTCCTCCTGTGTTTGCTCGGCCGAGACGACTATCACCGGTGCGCTTCCAGACCGCAAAGGCGGAGTTTGAACACATCCTGCAACTGGGAATAATTCGACCGTCCGAGAGTCCTTGGGCGTCCCTACTGCACACGATGCTCAAGGCGACATCGGGTGACTGGAGACCCTAAGGCGACTATCGAGCCCTCAACAACGCCACCATTCCTGATCGGAACCCCATGCCTCATCTTCAAGACTTTGCTGGAACCCTTTTCGGCAAAGCGGTTTTCTGGAAGATGGATCTGGTGTGTGCTTCTCATCAGATTCCAGTCGCCCCTGAGGGCATCCCTAAAACCGCCGTCAACACACTCTTCGGTCTCTTTGAGTTCATTCGCATGCCGTTCGGTCTTCGTAATGCCACCCAAAAGTTCCAGAGGTTTTACGTGGCCTACCCTTTGTGTACGCCTACATTGATGACCTCTTGGTGGCCAGCTGGAATCAGGAAGAACACAAAGATCATCATGCCTTGGTGCTTGACCGTCTTGACAAGTTTGGCGTTGTCATCAACCCCTCTAAGTGCGTATTTGGTGTGCCTTCACTCAAAATCCCCGGCTATCAGGTCGACTCGGAGGGTTTGCGCCCCCTCCACTCCAAGGTTAAAGCAGTTCCTAATTTCCCTCCACCAACTTCCAAGCGTCAGTTGTAACGATTCCTCGGCATTGTCAGTTTCTACCACCCGTTCCTACCCAACTGTGCTGACCTCTTGCTGTCGCTCACCAACATGCTTTTTGATTCCAAAGGCTCCCTCGAGCTGACTGGTGAAGCACTGACTGTTTTTGCGAGAATCAAGAATTCCCTTGCCGACGCCACTTTACTCACGCATCCCACTCCCGAGGCTCAGTTGTTCCTGATGGTAGATGCTTCGTCCGTAGCCGTAGGTGCAGTCCTTCAACAACGTCTTGCCGGTTCGACTCGACCACTTGTCTTTTTCTCCAAAAAACTCTTACCAGCTGAGACACGGTACAGTACCATTGGCCGTGAACTACTTGCATTTACCTGGCTGTGAAGCATTTCCGGCATTTCCTTGAAGATCGGGACTTCACTGTTTTCACGAACCACAAACTGTTGACTTTTGCATTTCGGTCCCACTCCGACAAGTACAGTCCGAGGGAAATCGCCCACCTGGACTACATCTCCCAATTCACCACCGACATCCGCCACATTGATGGCACGAAGAATGAGGTGGCTGATATGCTGTCCAGACCCTCACTGTCTTCCCTCCAACTCTCACACGGGATCGATATTTGTGTCATGGCGGCTGAGCAACAGCGAACCGGTTGTCCTGGCAACGAGTCTGCTAGTGGTCTCCAACTCGAGGACGTCCCCCTAACCACCTAGTACCGTACTTTGTGGCGTCTCGATTCTCCTTCGTCTCTCTTTCGTGCCCGCCTCGATGCGTCGAGCTATATTTCAAACTCTGCATGAACTCTTCCACCCTGGGACCCCAGCCTCTCAAAAGCTCCTTGCGGAAAGGTTTGTCTGACCTGGCATGATCAAGGACGTCAAAACCTGGGCACGATCGTGTCTGAATTGCCAGCACAACAAGGTGCTACGTCACAACAAGTCCCCACCGGGCATTTTCCCCGGCCCCGATGCACGGTTCAGCCATGTGCACATGGATGTCGTAGGCCCATTGCCTCCATCCAATGGGTTTACTCCCCTCCTTTCCTGTATCGTTCGATATACCCCCCGGGCTGAAGCTATTCCTTTGCCGAATGTGCAGGCTGAAACCATCGTGAAGGCCTTAGTCAGTCGTTCGGTCACCATGTTCGGTGCCGCATCCACGGTTACGACTAATCGTGGTGCCCAGATTGAGTCGGCACTCTTCCAAAAGCTACTCAATTTTCCTTGGCTGCACACGAATTCGGACAACAACCTACCACCCAGCTGCCAACAGAATTGTTGAGCGTTTCCATCGCCAGCTAAAGACCGCCCTACGTGCCGTAGAAGACCCAGGAAACTGGTTAGACATCCGTCTTCTTGCCCTCCTCGACATCCGCGCAGCACTGAAGTCGGATCTGGGCTGTAGCGCAGCTGAATTTGTTTTCGCCACTACCATCCGACTGCCAGACGAGATGGTCACCCCAAACTCTCGTGCGGCCGACGAAATTCCTGACAACCTCGTGCCCCGTTTGCGACAATTAATGTGCTCGCTTTCCCTCGAGCTCCAATGACTGAGTCTAATGTCGAAAAAGACTTGGACTACTGCACTCATGCGTTCGCCCGGTGTGACCGTGTGCTCCAGCCGCTGGAATAATCATACGAAGGACCGTTCCGCGTGATCGCGCGCAACGCCAAGACCTGCCGGATTCTTTGCGGTGACAGGGAGGACGTGATCGGTGTCGATCGGGTCAAGGCTGCTGTTGCAGAGGAGCCGCCGAACTTGTCAAAAGAACAAAAATGTGCTGACCCCCTAACGCCTCTTCCTCCATCTTCACTATCCCCTGCTCATTCACCTTGCCCACTCTCTGTCGCTTCCCCTCCCTTTCCCTCTACCCCTCCGTCCCGCATACTTCCTCTCCCTACATGTCTTCAGCATCCAACTGCAATATCATCCTCCACCATAGCACGCAGTCAACCTCTTCGACCCTACTTACATCCCTCGCAGTGGCTGTCACGTTCATTTCTCGGATCGTTTTTCCTAGACTTATGCATATCCTCCGGCGCCGTATTGCGTCGCCCTCCGGTATAGAAGAGGTGTGCTGTGGTGAGGTACCGAACTAGTATACGTTTGACAATTTAGTGCCGTTTTCTTTGCTCGGATTGCTTGTTTGGATGTGACGAATAACAACACACCGGTAAAACCCGCCTTGCTGGCCTGCTTTGCTGTCACGCTCTGTTATCATGTTACCTAACGTTTAGTCTCTATAGTATTCACTGCTCAGTTTTACTTGCTGTCTTTAAGGCTAGGGAACCGTGGGATATAATTTGTTAGTTCGTGAGAACATTACCTTTTACGTCACAAGAATGACTTGCTGCCTGAGTGGCTTTGAGCCCAGTTTGTGAGAGGCAAACTGATTGAGGCCGAGATGAGCAGAGACGAGTTCCAGGAGGCATGCTAGAAGAAGGTGATGCGATTGTTGGAACAAGAGGTTCATTGCTTGACGTCTCGGATTCTCACTGGAAAACTTCATCAGAGGCAGTCCCAGTAAAAGATAAAAGATGTACAAGGAGCGCGGAACTCATGGAACGCAATTACCAGGCAACCAAATGCATGCAATAATTAGCAGCACACGAGCCCCTCTCTATGAGGTCGTATTTGATGAGACGATTGCTCGTGTGTCCCTTTCCGAATCGTTACTACCATGATTTCATCACTGCTAATGATCTTTGGCGCGTTAATTCCTCGGCAATTTGGCACGCTCTCAGCGGAACTGTTGGCCGCCTGCGTCGTATCCGCCTGTCTGTTATGTTGCTCAGGATAAATCAGAACACAGAATATGGAGGCGGGAGGTCATTGGGCTTGTTAGTTAACTGAAGGCCCGCGAACCATGACTCCTGCAGCTCGTGGCTCAGTGGTTGTTGCCCCTTCAGAGAATTTTGGTCTCTTCAAAAGCGAAGGTATGTCGGGGTCCCGTGGAATGACTTAGCGTCGTTCCACCTCACTGCTGCCACAAATTCACCTTTTGCGTACGGAATAATCTTACATTTTCTCCGACGTAGCTGCATTGTCCGTGGCTGCAACAGATTTGGAAAACTACTCCAGACGTTTCTTGCTATGGTAGTGTGTGTTTCGACCACGACATGGCGCCTAAATCTTGCCTTCGCTCTGTGTACACCTTCAATACCGAGTGGTGTGAAGGGCTGCTGACGGCTTCCGAGACGTTTGCGAACGGAGGCGCTCGCCAAAATCCGGCGGACGTATTTGTGATTTCGAAGAAAATGCGAACACGTAACCTGATGTACAGTTCTATTATTCTACACCTAGATTATCGAAAATAAAGGCTGTTGTGTCTACAGCGTGAGCATGCTGGTCGACTTGTAGGCATGCAGACATGAAACCAACCCAAACAACTTTTGCCGTTGTTCTATTTGTAGTCATTAGCCCAAAAAGGGGATGTCAAACCAGTATGCAGGCGGATGCTGTTGCGCTCCAAGAGCCAACAATGTGACATGGAGCGGAAGAGGTTTTAAACACAAATAAATCTGGAGGTGCGTTCCTCTCGTGGTAGCAGAAAGGCCATTTAATCGGCAGCATGTTCGAAAGCTTTTATTCCCAGAAATGAAGATAAACACTGCAATACTCATTGCAGCCAAAGTAATATAATGATAATAGGACTACTTGGTGGATTCGCACTTTCTTTGGCGCTTGGTTATTTATATTATTTGGTCACTGACTCAATACGGTACAACTTTGACATCCGGACGGCAACAGTCAACCTAGCAGTGCCCAGCAGCATCAATTAAAGTCATAGCCGTCGCTTTTACACTTGTTAAGGTTTACTCCCTGGCAGTCAGCTTTTAGAAATAAGCGGTGCAGACAATCGGAAATCTACATTCAGAAGGGAAAATGACTTTCTTTATTGAGGGCAGCCACGCACAGATCAGCTTTTAAGTAAACAGTCTGGGGACCTTTTATCGTACATGTTAATTCTGTGCTTTTAGGATCTTCCAAGTTAAAAAGGCGTGGTCGAGATCAAGGTATAGAAAAGAAGGTTCGGACCTCAGACTTAAAAATATAAATCATCTTTGACATACAGACTATCAGTCTTCCTCTGCAGTGGTAATTGGTACGAAAATTTATTTCAACAACATTACCTCAGTACCCTTCGTTGCCTTAGACTGGATTTCTAAAGTCGTCGTCAAGAAACCGGAACCAACCAAAAGCTTATGGCAATGTTTCGTAACGTTCCAATGAGCGAAAACATCTCCAATGTATCATGTCGTCGTTAAAAGTCACTGAACCATATGTCCCAGGGTTTGACTTGTACATATTGTGTTACGAATGCTTGTTATGTAAAAAAATCAATTATTAGTAAATAGATTTTTTTGGGATGCGATTTTTTCCGAGCCTAGGAGCACTTGACACGATCGCATTTCTACATCCTTGACCAAGGTCCCAAAGTTCCTCATCGGATTTTATTGGCACAAAATAACGTCTACTTTTTGCATGCATGTGTATGTGGCTTATTTTGTCCTGACGGACGACACAAAAGTACACTTTAAACGTTCGATGAGAAATATTGTCGCATCAAAAACTGACTTTCATTTTTATGAAGTTAGCTGCATGTTGTTTCTCGAAACACTCTTGTGCTGTTAGCTTTTAAAGGTCTTAAATCAATTCACCTCCGTAGGTTGAAAATATATTCTATTGTCATTCTTTAATTGAAACCGTTTCCGGCAATCCATTACGTTTTGCGCAAGCAAGAGCAAATTCAAGGTCAAATTAATATCTAAGAACACTCCGCAGAGAGCACCTGAATCAACCTGGGAAAAGCATGGCGGCTGGCGAAGGCAACTGTTTCCTCAAAACTGACACTGCGGGGATTCGCCTAAGCATTAAACATTCAGGCAACATCGCATGGACTGTATCGCACAGAAACCAGAAAAATACGTTTTAACAGCAACGAAAATGTCTGATACTTTGATTTTACGCCTGACCTCCGCCGAAAATCAAAAGTCGAAATGTTCAGAACAATGAAAATTAGAAACATATGAAAAGTTTGGAACTGCTTTATTCTGATACCCAGTTATTTCGGTTGTTTTATTGTAAATTTGTTTAAGCTTTGATGAAGTGAATTCTGAACTATGCTGGTTATGTAAAAGCCAGCATCATTCTTCATTACCCATAACCAACCTTCCTCTCATAACTCAAGCTTGTTAGAGGAAAGGACGTTGATAGTGAGTACCTTACTTTCACCTTCTGCAAACAAATCTTGTTCATGGTTAAAGTGCATCTGTAAAAGTACATGTGATCATATTTACAATGGTAATCCTACTTGTCATGCTCAAACAATTAATTACACACAGGACAGACCGGACGACGACTCAGCCCACGAATAACGGTGCATAAACGGACAGTGCGGGGAGGCGACCCGTTGACTCAGGTCGCCACTCCCACCCAGGAGTAAGGCCACGGAGTCAACTTCGCGAGCACGCGGATAGTAGCGCGGGCCAGCAATAAGAC